AGCGCACGTCGGTAGTCCCCGGCGCTATGGGTAGTGCGAGCCGCGCCCGGGCCAGCTCGGGCCCACCCGCATCGCAGACGGCGCCGTCCACGCCCCCGCCCGAGAGGCAGCCCTCGTTGGCCGCGTTGACGAAAGCGTCGCCTTTGAACTCAACGACTGAGCCGACGGCCACGTGGATCCGCAGCCCGCGGGCCTCGTGCGACTGCAGGACCCGGACTCCAAGCTCGGCCATCCCCTAGGCGACGAGCGCCTTGCCCGCGAGGAGCGCCGCGCGACCCGCGCAGGAGCGCCTTGCCCACTGTCTGAGCTGCGCGCAACTGTAACGATGGCGGACACCGTGCCGAACGTTATGCCGAACGCGGCGTTGGAGCTCTCGGCGACCGAGCTCAAGGAGGTGGGCACGGAGCTGTACAAGGTGGGCGAGTACGCCCAGGCGGGTGGCAAGTACGCCGAGGCGCTCTCGCGCCTTCCGCCCGCGCCCGCCGGCGCCGAGGCCGAGGAGCTGCGCCAGAAGCTGCGGCTCAACCTGGCACAGGTCTACCTCAAACTCTCGTCCTTCGACGCGGCCGAGGCGCACTGCGACGCGGTGCTCGCCGCCGACCGCACGTGTGCCAAGGCGCTCTTCCGGCGCGGGCAGGCGCGGCTTGGCCGCGACGCGCTGCACGAGGCGCTCGCCGACCTGCTCGGCGCGTGCAAGCTTGAGCCGCAGAACCGCGACTTCCGCGCCGAGCACAACCAGCTGCGCACGCTCACCGCCGAGCAGCCCGCGCTCGCCAACCGGCTGCAAGACCTGGCCGTGGTCGAGGAGAAGGCGCTGCGCCAGCTGCACACCGCGCGCGCCGACGAGGCGCTGCGCGCCTTCGCGCTGCTGCAGCGCGAGTGCGACTCGGAGACCGTGGCCGTGCAGCTGCCGCACTGGGAGGCGCGCGCGGCGCTCGGGCAGGGGCTCGCGCACCGGCACGCCGGCCGACGCGTTGAGGCGCGCGAGGCGTTCGAGCGCGCGCTCGAGCGCGCGGTGAGCGAGCACGCGCGCGCGCCCGTCGCCGCCGTGCACGCGACCGTGCAGCTCTGCCTGATGGCGGCGGACGCGCCCGAGACGGAGGAGGCGGCCAAGGCGCGCGCGCAGCTCGCCTCCGCCATCGTGGTGGGCGAGGGGCTCGGCGACGCGCTGCTCGCCGCCTCGGCGCACGGCGCGCTCGCGTGCGCGCTGCTGCGCGCGGGCAAGCCCGGCGAGGCGCTTCCGCACGCGCGCGCGGCCGCGAGGCGCTCGGCGGCCGCTGGCGACGCGCACGGCGAGGCGGCCGACCTGGTTACGCTCGCCGCGGTCGAGCGCTCGCTGGCGGCCGCGGGGATGCCGCTCGCCGCGGGCGCGGCGAGCGCGGACGGCGCGGATCGGCAGCTCGCGCGCGCGCTGGAGCTGGCGCGATCGCTCAAGTACCCCCGGCTTGAAGCGGAGTCGCTGGGCGGGCTGGCACGGCTGCGGCTCGCGCAGGGGCAGCCGCTCGCCGCCTACGAGTTCGCCAACGAGGGGGCGCGACTCGCGCGCGCGCACAGGCTCCCGCTGGCCGAGACGGGCGCGCTCGGCTCGCTGGGCGCTGCGGGCGTGGCGCTCGTGCAGCGCCAACTCCGCCCGCCCGTCGACGGCCCGCGGCCCGAGCGGGCCTTCGAGCAGGCGGCGGAGCTGGCGCTCGCGCAAGGTGACTCGCACGCGCACGTGCTGCTGCAGGTACAGCAGCCCCCCCCCTCCCCCTAACGGGTAAATTATGGGGGGGGGGGTAAAATCAGGGTGGGGCGACGAAAATCACATTTTCCGCTGGCGCACGGGGGACTCGCACATGCACGCGCTGCTGTAGGTGCAGGGCCGCACGGGGCATGGCGCGGCGAGGATGGCGGGGCTCTGACTAACCCCCCCCCCCCCCCCCCCCCCCCCCCCCCCCCCCCCCCCCCCCCCCCCCCCCCCCCCCCCCC